AACAAACCTACCATCTTCTCAGAACAATAATAATTTTTTTCGTCGCTACACCAACACAGGAGACAGAAACGGAACACTTCGAAAACAAAGACCAACAATTTAGAGTGTTATTCCAAAATATACAAAGCCTGTCCAATAAGCAACACTTACTGGAAGCCTTAATTCAGCAAACACCAAAATATCATGCTATATGTATGTCAGAAACTTGGTTATCAAAAGAAAAACTGGATTTAATAAACTTCAGCGGCTACAAAGCCGCGGCTTCATTCTGCCGGAAAACTCGTGCTGGTGGCGGCGTCTGTATTTTTCTACAAGAACACATAGAATACTTGGAGAGAAGTGATATAACAGATATGTCAGTAGAATATGTAATAGAAGTGTGTGCAATAGAGTTACAAATAGAGAATTTACTAATAATTATTATTTATTGGAATAGGAGAGAAGAAGCTATATTTTATAAGCAATTAAAACAAATATTAGATTATTTAAATAAAAAAGACTCTAGACTGAACATTGTTATAGGAGGAGACTTTAATATTAATATATTAGATAGTAGTTTAAAAACAAACCAATTCATAGATCTCATGCTGGAATTTAATTTTATGCAACATATAAAAGTAGCAACTAGAGTAACCCAAACCACCGCAACATGTCTAGATTTAATTTTTACAAACACGAATATTAGATTACACACTGCAGTGGAAGAGTTGGGCCTGTCTGACCATAGTGGTACAATTATACAATTGGCTGTGCCCCGACAAACTAGACAGATTGTATGGTATGTTGAAAAGAGACTGTTCAATAACAAAAACATACAATGTTTCAAATCCAAAATAAAAGAAATTAAATGGAACGATATAATCAAACCCGGTAGGGACATAGATGAAAATTATAAATCATTTAACAATACACTAACCCACATTCTTAATCAATCCATTCCAAAAACAAAATTGATTCTAAAAACAAACTATAAAAAACATTGGCTAACTAAAGGCATCAAAATTTCTTGTAAAAATAAAAGGCTTGAAAAAATTCTCTGCACTAAAACCAACAATCCTACAATTAGACAACATTACAAAACATATGCAAAAACTTTAAAACAAATTGTAAACAAGGCTAAAAAACTACAATATATAAATAAATTAATGAAATCTAACAATAAAATTAAGACTATGTGGAAAATTATAAATGAGCGAACGAATAAAAATGTAAAAAAGGTAAAAAAGAACATTACACTACATCTAAATGACAATGTTATCTCGGACCCTAGACAAACAGCAAATATTTTTAATAACTTCTTTGCGTCTATCGGAGAAGGAAGTGCTCAAATCCCCGGCAAAAAACCGCGAGGCATCTCTGTGACCCACCGCACAGAAAATACCATGTTCCTTAGTACAGTAGGCCCCAGTGAAATAAATATAATATTGAAAAACCTTAAAAATAAAAACAGCTTTGGAATAGATGAAATACCACCAACCCTAGTCAAACAGTGTGCAGACGAGCTAACCCTACCATTTTACTTGCTAGTCAATCAGTCTTTTGACGAAGGAAGATTTCCTAACTACCTAAAGAAAGCTGTTATAAAGCCAATCCACAAAAAAGACTCTAAAACCGACCCTTCTAATTACCGCCCTATTGCTCTTTTACCTACAGCCTCGAAAGTATTTGAGAAAGCCATGTGTAATCGCGTCTATTCCTTTTGTGAAAAATATAAAATTTTTAATGAATCCCAGAATGGTTTCCGTAAAAACCACTCTACCATTCGAGCAGTATATAACTTTATCCAGGAAGCCATTAATATAATCGATAAGAAAAAATATGCCGTCGGTATACTGTTAGACATGACAAAAGCTTACGATAAAGTTCAATTTGACATCCTACTTAACAAGCTACAAGAAATAGGGATCCGTGGAAAACCTTATGAATGGTTCAAATCATATTTGGAAAATAGAGAACAACAAGTCGAAATAGAATACTACAACGAACATGCTAAACAAATCCAACACATCCGGTCAGAAAGTAAACAAATTAATGCCTCCATCCCCCAAGGGACTGTTATTGGATGCCTACTGTTTATAATCTACATAAACGACCTCTCTACAATCATAAATGAGTCATGTGTTCTATTTGCCGATGATATCTCGATACTAACTTCTTGTCATGATAATACCAACCTAACCGGAGTACTTACAAATATATTCAATAAAATTATAACATGGATGACAAAACATAACCTTGAAATAAATTTTAAAAAAACTAAAATCATGACCTTCCACCCACATCAGAAAACGCCTTTAGATATAAAATTTATTTACAATAATACAAAAATAGAAACCGTTAAAGAATTCAACCTACTCGGCCTATCCATAGATACAAATTTAAATTGGAAATCACACATTAAAAAAATCAAGTCTAAGTTGTCAAAATTTGCCTACGCCCTCAGTGAAATAAAAAAATCAACAAACCTCTCCACTGCTCTGGTTACATATTATGCCTATGCATACACATGGTTGAACTACGGCATAATTTTATGGGGAAATAGCACAGACGCACAAACACTTTTCATACTCCAAAAACGACTAATTAGAATTCTAGTTAACATAGACAACATAGAGAGCTGCAAACCCCATTTCCAAGAACTCAAACTTCTAACACTACCCTCTATATACATCCTGGAAATGTGTAAATTTGTTAGAAATAACGAAAAACTTTACATTACACGCGAAAACACACAGACTCACTACACCCTACGACACAAAAATAGACTAATCCTACCAGGTTCTAAGCTAAAAATACACTCCACAAGCACTTTAGTAATGGCAGGTAAAATATATAATAAATTACCAGATGACATTAAAAATGAACAAAAATGTAATATCTTGATAAATAAATTAAAAAAACTTTTAATACATAAATGCTATTATAATGTACAGGAATATTTAAATGATAAATTTAATAAATAAAGTAAAAATAACACAAAGTAAAAATAATGTATTTGTTCAATTAGTTATAAGTTATATAAGCCTATCTACATAAAAACAATGAAAAATTGTAAACATATATTTACTAGCCCTCCTCATAAAAATTACTACTATTGTTATGCCCGACAGGGCCCACAATGCTCCTAAACTAATATAAGTATGTAAATCCTTATGTACCCTACCACCTAAGTTCACATTGTGGAATGCAATAAATATATTGAGTATTGAGTATTGAGTATTGAAATAATAATCAAGTAAGACCCAAAAGATATTGTGAAATCTAAAATGTGTTTCGTGTTTTCCTCATGATTGGTGCTTAACTGGCTTAGTAATATGTTTTAATACTACTTCTTATAGTTAATCGTACCAAAGGTGACCGGAAAGGTCGTATAATGAACAAGTTAATAGCTAGGTACTAGTTCATAAGAATAAATTGACAAAACAGACGTGCCTAAGATTTCCCCAAATACTTTACCTATCTGATCAATGATATCTACCTATTCTCAAAGTTGAGCCCTAACTCAGTTAGGTACCTAGCAAATTGGATTGAAGGTGTGAGAATTTGATTAGTTTCATTATTACTTACTCCTGATTATTATCCATTAAAGAATAAAAGAGTACTGAGTGTTAGCTACTTTTTCGTTAACGCGAGCCAAACATCACTCCGCTTAGCTTTGTGATTGGTTGGTTAACTTGAAGCAGGCCAATCAGAGCGCCGAACGTCATAAATCTGTTGATCGTAACTCGTACGATCGGTGTAGCACCGTAAGGGTCCGAAGCAGGTCTTTTAAAAGGCTTGGTGCCCTTTAAGATACTGAGAGCGACCACAGGCGTGGTGGTAAGCTAATAACCCCATGCTCTGTAGTGTTTCTCGCGAAAAATGCACTCTAACCGGTATATTAAACAAATGGCTAAATTGAGACAAAAATTTCCACACTTAAACATCATAGATCTAGCTGTTATCAGAAAAACTACGATACACCTAACTACTTTTACAGCATTCTAATTAGTAATAAAGTAATAAACGCACACAAACACTGTTATCGTATTGTCTGCTATCACTCCGTGTGATACTGGCGTGATAACTGATAAACAGCTGCAAGGTCACGTATGAGGTTTTGACCTTAACTTGGGTGAGGCTTGAGGGGCTAGCACTGCTCTGCATTGTGGTCCACTGAACATTCAATGACCCTTGTGTATCATAGACCAAATTTAATGTAGTTAAGTTTAGGAGTAAATCTACAAAGAAAAATCACTGGCAGTGGTTAGATGAAAATAACGTTTAGGTAGGGAAGCACTCATTGACTGACCTGTCTCGTCCTCGGTTTTATTTATTTATTGACATTTTTGTTATTTTATATTATTGTTAGTGTAAGGACCGTGTGAGACTTGCCGTGCTTTTTGATTACCAGTTATCTGCGTTCTGACAGTTTGAGTACTTGCGCGACCCACCCAAATGTTCTTTTGATCGGTATTGTTCGTCGGACAACTCAGCAGCACTAGCTATACTGGTTGCAAACTGACACTTGCGTGCCTGTCTTCAGAACGGGTCCACTTAAACTGGTGTGGTTCTTTCCTCAAAAGACCACTACAGAATGAACTTGCACGATTCTCTCACATTACGTTATTTTATTGTCTGGACTTGAAAAGAGACTGACCTCTGAGTTTGTTTCGGCATTTCTTCTCAGAGTAGTCAGATAGGAAATGCCGGCTTCATCTAGTTTTTCACATATAATTTGACATGGAAAAGTGCCGTTTTATGGCCTATTTGCACAAATACAGCAACAATGTTTCAACCAAGTACAGCATAACTTTATTGGGTATTTATATGAGGGTGGTGAATCAAGCTCGTTAATTTCCAAAAAAACATCACTTTCATGAAAATAGATGAAAATAGTTCTTTAAGTAGGTCTATCACAAGCAAAACAAGTATATCGAAACCACCATTTGAAAATGCATACCTACCAACTACTCGTATATTTTCCAATTACTTACTAAAATATATTTTCCTTTTTCCAGTGACATCAAGGATGTGGTGTTCAGAAATCCCCGTCACTCCTCGAAATACCTCCTGGCTGACAGCGGGGATGGGTCTGAAGCCGACCTGCTCGGCACAACGCCTCCTCGCTCCAGGATAAGGGATAAGGAGAGGGGAAGGAAGTAAGTTGGCCTTTTTTGTGTAATATTTTAGAAACTTATTAAAAAAGTACCTATGCATTTTATCATCGTATCGTCTGATGTTAAGGAAATATGTGGTCGTTGACACTAAACACCTTGAGCGTGTAACCAGTTTTCTGTTTATATAGTAAAAATAGTTCTTATAGTATAAGAACTTGTGCTCCGTCCGTGACTGCGTCGGCCTGGATACCAATCCTGTTCCCTTTTGAGGTCAGATTAAAAATAACATCTGTAGTTAAGTACCTGCTTGGTTTTCGAAATTTGCAATCGTAGCGTCCAATTCAAAACCGGTAATCTTGTATGGGATTCATAAGACAGATGGCGAAAATTGTGAGCTAATATTATATTCTCTACCTACCCTAGATCTTAGATGCAATGATATTTTATTCGCAGAAAAACGTTGTAATTTAAAAAAAATATACAGGAACAAATTGTTGTATGCATTAATGATAATATTTGTAATACCTACTTTTAGACCAATTACTTATCGCCAAAAGTCCTCAATGCAAAGGGGATTTTTCCGCAAAAAGGACAGTCCCGGTCGATGACCTTGTTCCTGCTTTTTAGATGACAATATTATTATCGATAAATGGTAGTTATTATTCACGAATGCTTTATATACAAATTACTGTAATATAATTATTAGTTCCAATAATTTTATGGGAACTTTAGACGGGTGTGCCCCAGTTGCCCGAGTCGCATGTCGCTTTGGTCTTTGTGGATATTTTTAACGATGTTCGACTTTATTTGAGAAGCAATATAGTTCAAAATATGTTTAAATTTTAGCCCACTTTGTACTTCATTGGCTGTTCATAGGCTGCTGATAAATAAATAAATAAGTATTAATAGGTAAATGGTTTGTAGATATGTAATGTCCAGAATTATCATCAAAATTATGACGCATTCCTATTATTTATTTAAGTTGTTATCGAAAAAGTATCTAATGATTACTCAAATTGTATTTTTTACTATAGAGGTTGGTACATACCTACTCGTATATGCATGATGATATAAAAAGACTCAAGATCTACCCTAAAATAATATAAGTCACTAATGTTCTAATGATTGCTTAAGCAAGTAGGGTTGGTACAGGTCGCTTCCAACTCCCGTTTGGAAGTCCTTTGCAAAGACCTTTTTGTCCATGAGTAGCGCTTTTGCTCATATGAAGTAAAGAAATTCCATAACCTAATACTGAATGAATCTAGTCATTAGCTATTTTAATGTAAGAAATAATTTCAAATAAGTCTTCTAAATTCAAATACGTACACAATTGCACAGTTTACGAATAAAGAATTTACATAATATTATTTAATTACCGTACCAGACTTTAATCTCAGTTCGATATAAAATTATCCGGGTCTATATTAGATAAAACAGTACGACTCATGAAATACCTGAATTATAAGCTAGTTAGTAAATTCATTCGGTTACATACAGCGTCATTTTTTTTTTGTCAGGGTAAAATCATCTAATGATTCTCCCGCCCAGGGTGAGGCGACAGAGAGTGTCAGACTCTTACTAACTAAATACGCGCCCGTTCCTTCTCCTGCTTTAGGCCTTGGCCGCAGTGCCTCATTGCGCTTGCCCCGCAACTAGGGAATGCAACCCGGTTTTACCGAAATTCGAAAACCCGGGTTTTTGTGATATTTTAAACGATAAAAAAACTCGATTTTTTTAGCCACGTTTCCGGGTTTTCGGTGTTTTCGGTTTTTTTTAATGGCAACACTATAGCACTGTCAAAGTGACATTTACGCTCTCAAGAAAAAGACAACTGAAGACTAGGCTGCATGGGCTCACGCTCTTTGCCTTCCCTTACATGGGAGAATCTTAAAGAAAAAAGGGATGTTTGTTTAGGTATTATTACTCTTCTCTGTGGTTTGTTTCTATAATTTAATAAGTTTTAGCTATTTTCGAAGTAAAAAATATAGAATTAAAGTAAATTTATCGTACAATTTCAAGTGTTCATCGTGCAGTACAGTTATTTCTGTTATTTAAATATTATTGTAGGTAGATGCACTAGAGTACAGACAGTTCCTATAAATACTTTAAAAAGTAAAATATTCTTTAAGCAATGTTTAATGATTTTGTTATTTTCATTTTCAGTATCTTAGCTGTAGCTGTTCTATCAACATGATAATTATGTTTATTCAGTGAATTAATTGTCTAAAGTTGATTATTGTAAGATTGATTGTTAACGATTTCATAGTTTTCGTAATAAATAAATTAAAGTTATTTTCCTTTGATCACGATTTTTTATTCGTTTTCATGTAGTTTATATAAAAAGTACTTACAAAAAAAAATAAACTCGTTTTAAACCCGATTTCACCGAAAACCGGGTTTTTTAAAATAGAACTCATAAATAAACCCGGTTTTAAATTTTGGCGGGTTTTGCATTCCCTACCCGCAACCCTGGCTGAACATCAGCCCTATAGGGCCCCGTCTGTGGTGGTCTATTAACGCTACGCTACGTACGTTCGGGGCATACGCCGCCCATTTTGTCAGCTTACAAAAATTTTCGCAAATGTGTCTAAATTCATAGATATTGTACTTACTATCGATTGTTGCTTGTGCGTACATGATAACGTTGTTAATATTTTATTAAAGGCTTATCCATATTGTATAAATCATATTATACATTATAACTAGGTCTCTTTTTGGAAGAAAATCATCAAATAATTTATTTGGCTCTTGACTCGTTCTGACTAAACAGCACCCCGTCTCTTTTCCTGGTCCAGGCCGAGCCCGCCCCGGTGCAGTACTACGATTGCCCTTGTACCCGTAAATGATCACTACCCAAGGCAATAAAGTTACTTCTTCATCGACATGAAAGGTTATAATAAATAATAACACAACATATTTTTTAAAGTGAATTAAAATTAAAAACATCAGTGTAGGTATTTTGAAAATTGTAGCTGGCAGTCGTATGTTTAACCTAAATCTTAATACAACGAATTACCTATAGAGGGCGCTATGAAAGGAAGCTTAAAGTTTTTTCAACTAGTTATGTATACAAACACAGTTGTGTAGGCACTCTAAATATTTTTTTGTAACAACCTGTTGTTGGTATAATTATACATAATATTGTACAGTACGGCCAAGAGTCGCAGAGATAAGTTCCGCCAACACGGCTGTAAATTATTATTACAATGAGTTTAAGATACGATAGCGTTATCACCGCTACGCTACGTATGTCAACTTGGTTACACTGATAACTATACTCAATTTTGTTACTGACTTTACTTGCCTTTTTTGAGGTGGAAAAATATTTAAATGTATTGAGCGGCTTATGCACAGTACTACTATGATGACTCTATACATATTATGTTCACTGTTGCTTGAGTATGGCGGAGGGAATGTCAGATTTTTACTGGCTAAAAACCACCTCGTGTATCCATCAAAAACCACCTCGGCTAGACTGGCTGTAGAGGGATCCATCGGTACTGGTCTGATGACTCTTTAAACCGTACAAGGATCGCGACGCACCGTACGCTCGGGTCTTTGCTTCCCTTGATGTGTTGAGAAAATGATCTTATGATAAATCCATGTGTTGAATTGGAGATCCAGGAAATATATTTGCAAAAATAATAAATAATTAAAAACACATTCATGATAGACATCGTTCACAAAAATGCAGTATAGTTTACTTTCCGCCTATATTTCATCCCTACTTTTTCCTAGCGACACTTTCAGATATGCCTGATTATTTTAAATCGCGGTCTCCAAAATGCCAGTAATAATACGTGGATGTTAGGGACAGCACTCGTATGTAGAAGGGAGCCGAAGTCCAGTGATGAGACGTGACAAGGGTGCAATCACGAAATTACTACTTAGTTAATATAAAGTAGCTTTCTCTGTCCCTATATTGCTATGAATCATAGAGGAACTGTTTTGTTTCGTTCATGCTATGTATGCTTAAATATTTAAAAGTACCTACGCAACCGATTTTGTCGTGATTGTTTATTAGATAGAGTGATTGAAGAGAAAGGATTGTATATATATCTAATAATATCCATTAAATAGTGTAGAAATTTAGTATCAGCATCGCGTACATGTGTAGCCGGGCAGGCCGGTAGTGAAGTCAAAATTCAAGCCTTTTCCTCCAGCTATTAATATGATAAACAAAAAACATCGACAAATATGTATTTTCAAAACTTTCACATAACAGGACATCAAGGATATGAGCGTGTGTCCTATTATTATAATTGATCAAATTAAATATGTATGTTCATACGAAACGTTCGGTAAAGCAATGACGTCACAACTTTCCCAATGTTTTCTTTGTAACTATTTTGAGTAGAATCAATTTTGATAGTGGTTAAGTGTGTTTTGTTTATTATAGCAGCTTCGCCCGCGTGGTATGTTGGTAAAAAGTAGTCTGTGTTAATCCGTTATTAATTTTAGTGTGGGAGGGCCATGCTTCGGCACGAATGGGTCGGCTCGACTAGAGCTATACCACGGCCTCACAGAAAACCGGCGTGAAACAACCACAGCGTTGTGTTTAGCCGCGTGATTGAAGTTACCGGAGGCCCTCAACCCCTAAATCCCTAATCCCTAAAAGGTCGGCAACGCACTCGTAACTCCTCCGTTGCGAGTGTCCATGAGAGGCGCTGATTGCTTACCATCAGGCTATCCGTATGCTCGTTTGCCGACCCATTACAGGGAAAACAAATCTAGGGCATCATCACCTATCTACGTACCAAATCGGTCCTGCGTTTTAGCGTGGAAGAATAACAATCATACATTCATATTATTCTCTCAAACTTTCACATTTATAATGATAAGTAGGATTAGTAGGATTGTACATATAATTCAGGTTACATGTTGTGTAATACACAAGATTTTGAAGATGCATGTTTCATCTTTGTTACTTTTTCACGCAAAAAAAACAAATGAATCTGATCTTTATTTCTCACAACAGATGGATTACCTACTAAGTAGATTATCAGAGCCCAAGAACAGCACATGGTACTTATACCGAATTC